TCATTAAATAACAGAAAGCTGACCGATGGACTCTTAATCTTAACGCTGTAATAGTACCGTGGTGTTGAGCACAAGTCCTTCGGGAGGCCGTTCTGTGTGTGAGAAGGGCCACAAACCATTCTAAATACGCTCATTCTTACCGGTGCGTGTGCTTAACTTGTGTTCTGTGTACTGAACGTCCTTCACGGTACTGGACAACTTTTGCTCAGATTAAATATTTTGCGTTTTCTTCGATGTACCATTTACAGTATGGGTGGACTTTTCCCTGTCTAGAGGTGCTGCCGCATCCCAATAATTTATCGATTAATTTAAGCAACCTTATGTCAATGGCGTTGCATAGAAATAATGGACGTTAGAACCTCTTAGCGAATCCAATAATTATCTGCACTATTGTTCTTGTCTCCGAGTATGCATACGACGCTTCGACCAGCTTATTCTCCGGTTGTCGTGGAGTATTAAGTGAGTCCCGAGAAGGACTGGACAGTGCTTGGTTTTCATCCATGTACTCATCACAACCTAAATTGCATTCCTGGCATCGCCAGCATCCCAAACGGTTACGAGTGCGGTACTCTGCCAACTGAGCTAACCGGGAAGGACGCAAGCTCGGATGCGCAGTTGGTAAAACGCTGGACTCGTAATCAGAAGATCATCCCGGTTGGATTTTCAACAATTCCAAGGCGACAGTTCAGGTGTGACGTGTACATGACTGAAAGCGAAACAAATCACTGAGTCCCATTCAGGACTCAATGCCACCTGACATCGGCAGGAATATGGAGTGGCCGAAACCTTGCGCGCACACGAGCACACCATACGGGGACAATATCCTGAACAATTAATCCACCTGTGAAACTTATGCCTCATCTCGATCATTCCGTAAAATCCGTTTGTGTCCTCAACTTTAAGCAAAGTTCCGCGTATGATTGGTGGTTGCATTAGTGACGCATACTATACCGCAAACTTCTGTCTAGCAGCACATGCGGCAACGTAACTGAACATGAGGGAAAAGTCTGTCCTATCTCATGTCAAGCTTAAACCGGTTGATTTGTTGGTAGTGGTTGTTGTGTACAAAAGTAACATGCTAAGATTGATGATTATATCAGTTCAAAGCGCAATGCGTCTTGAATTTCACTCCTGCCAGATGTGCTCCAATTACTCGTAAATTGAAAGGAATTGGCGTAGCAAAAACGTTTCCAAAGTGTTGTTCTTCCAGCAATGCGCCAATTTTGATTATACAAATGGCGTCGGCGTAGTTTCAATATATGTGGTATATTGAAAGAGTAACCACATTTCCGATGTTTCTTTCTGCTGACCTGGCATAGTATTGTTTGCGAAAGTGCCGTCATAGTTGAAAGTCGCAACTACACTCCCATAAGACTTATGCCCCTGGCAATCTTGTTGTAGCGCACAAATGAAACACACCGCAAAAAGGAATTGGCATGCAAGCAGAAAGAGGTAGTGTGATTTTCAGAGCCTTGAGTACCAAAAATTGCTATATTGTGGTGGGGGAGGGGACAGTGGCCAATCTATTCAGTCCGTCACCGGCGAGGTCATTTCCTTACAAGCGATTGCAATGTTTTGTAGGTTTATAAATAAGATCGTATGTGACTTGTATCCCAGGGCCTAGCGGTCGGATATGATTCAGCAAATCGGTGGGCCTGATAATTGCCATCTAGACAACACGAAATGGGGATATGTGGCATAACAGGTGACATGATAAATAACATACAAGGCAAGCATTTTGTCAAAAATTGTTTGAAGACTCGGGAACCAAAAAATTCGACGCACGTAATCACGGCCATACGACTTTGAAACCTGCACGAAACAAAACGGCGCTCCTCTCCCGTCAAAGATTTACCGCTTTGTTGGAACAGTCAAAATGAGATCAAGACTTAGTCATGTGTTTCGCTTGGATGAGTCACGACCTACTGTGAATTTTTGGATCTCGTCAGAAGTCAGCAGCTTTGAAGGCGTGCTATTTTTGCTAGCAAATTCCTCGCAAATAAGCGACATTAATCTAGCCGATGAATTACATGAAAAACACGAAAACAATCCAGAACTAAGTAGCAAAAATATCGAACTTCTAACTGAGAAAGCAAAAATATTGGTGCTGATTATCTCATACTTCTGTGAACCGATCTAACTTTTGTTCTCAGGATCAGGATGTCTCGAATGGATCGATGAACAGCTATTGAAAATGGCGTGCGTGCGTGCGTGCGTGCGTGCGTGCGTGCGTGCGTGCGTGCGTGCGTGCGTGCGTGCGTGTGTGTGTGTGTGCGTGTGTGTGTGTGTGTGTGTGTGTGTGTGTGTGTGTGTGGTGTGTGTGTGTGTGTGTGTGTGTGTGTGTGTGTGTGTGTGTGTGTGTGTGTGTGTGTGTGTGTGTGTGTGTGTGTGTGTGTGTGTGTGTGTGTGTGTGTGCGCGCGCGCACATATGAGGCTGTTTGGATGTTGTTGCAGAAACCTGGGGCACCATAAACCTCCCGAGTGGTCGCGGGCTTCATTCGGTTCAGTCCAGTTAACCTTCAGTTGTCTGAAACTGATGGCTTCTCTGTATCACATCCATTCCGGCGACTAGGATACCCGCGCCGGTGAGGAATTGTTAACCCCATCACTACGAGAACCGCCTGGGAGTTCTCAAGTTTGTCGTAGCTGGTGCTGTCAATGGCCAGTGACACCAAATAAACGGTATTGGTCCCGTTCTCCGACTCGGAAGAATTCTGGCCAATGCTATTTTGCTCAGTGATTGTTCTCTGCGAAAACTATCACCGAAACAAGCATAGGCCCACACAGGTCACAGACCAATCTAGCAAAGCATATATCGTAAACGTAAACGTCTTTCTGCCCGCAAAAGTGGTTTACAGATAAATACGGATCACCCGTGTCTTTTACCGAGCGCCGTGATCGCAGCGTCGCAAATGTAGTACGCAGGTCCAATGTATCACCCCGGACAGTAATGACTCGTCACAACGCTCCAGCCCCTGAGTAATGCCCCGAGGGATTGCCGGCAGTGGGAGATCGTTCGAGATGTGTTTCGCCCGCGCGCCGTGCAGCGCGCGGATCCATTTCCTATACACGCACATTGCCTGCATAGTAACGCGCACACAGGGGATAGGCGAAGAATGACGTGAATTTGCTGGCCTGAATACGCGATAAGGGAGAACGTGAGGTATGGCGCTACGCATTTTCCGATGCATCCAATTCATGTTATTGCAGCGGGAACCTACGATGTATCCAATTCATGCAGTGGGAACTTGAGATATCACGTCAAGACACCATCCAACTTTGCGTCTTTTGTCGTACTCCGAACACCCAGAATACATTGCTCTTCGAAGAGTTACTTGTACAGCTGAACATGCGGAGAACCGGGCAAGTTCAAACAAAATGACTTGGAAACTGAAAGCTCTACTGTGGAGGCCAAAATTAGCCGGGCACGTGATCTGACCGCTCGGCCGGACTTACGCTGCCCGATGCTGCAGGTTTCTATCGACGTCTAATCACGATCAGTATGCCTGTGCCAGCGCCCCTGCACGGCTTAGAGTCATAGGCAGAGATACGCAGTGCGCCCAGCAGCGGGGGAAACCGGATCGCCACCGAGCCGAGCGGCGGAGACCGGGTTGAGCTCTGTCGTTGAGTCGAGCGGCGGAGGAGACCAGGCTGAGCTCTGCCATGGAGCCGAGCAGCGCAGGAGACCAAGTTGAGCCCCGCCGTTGAGCCGATCAGCGGAGGAAACCAGGCTAAAACTGCCTTCGAGTCGAGCGGCGGAGGAGACGGAGTCGAGCCTGCCGTCGAGCCGTGCGGCGGAGGAGACCAAGTCGAGCCCCTCCGTCGACCCGAGCGGCGGAGGAGACCGAGTCGACCCCCGCCGTCGGGCCGAGCGGCGGAGAAGTTCGGCGGTGCTCCGCCGTCGAGCCGAGCGGCGGAGGGGACCGGACTGAGCTCTGCCTTCGAGCCGGGCGGCGGAGGGGATTGGACTGATCTCTGCCTTCGAACCGAGCGGCGGAGGGGACCGGACTGAGCTCTGCCTTCGAGCCGTGCGGCGGAGGGGACCGGGCTGAGCTCTGCCTTCGAGCCGAGCGGCGGGGCAGTCCGGTGGCGCTCCGCCGCTGAGCCGAGCGGCGGGGGGACCGGGCTGAGCTCTGCCTTCGAGCCGTGCGGAGGAGGGGACCGGGCTGAGCTCGCCCTCGAGCCGTGGCGGAGGGGACCGGGCTAGCTCTGCCTTCGAGCCGAGCGGCGGAGGGGACCGGGCTGAGCTCCGCCTCGAGCCGAGCGGCGGGGGGACGAGTCGAGCCCCGCCCTTCGAGCCGCGGCGGCGGAGGGGACCGGACTGAGCTCTGCCATTCGAGCCGAGCGGCGGAGGGGAGCGGACTGAGCTCTGCCTTCGAGCCGAGCGGCGAGGGCTGAGCTCTGCCTTCGAGCCGAGCGGCGGTGGGGACTGGACTGAGCTCTGCCTTCGAGCCGAGCGGCAGGGCAGTCCGGCGGCGCTCCGCCGTCGAGCCGAGGCGGCCCGGCTGGCATATGACAATAATAAACGGTGGGCGCGGCGGGCGCGCGCGCGAGTGGCGAATGGTTGGCGCGGCGAGCTGACAGCGCCGCTGACAGGCAACAGACGTCGCGCGCGACGCCCGCGTGCCGACGGCCGAGGAGGTGCGTGGCCCGCGGTCGGTCGCACTGCGCTGAGGTTTGTGCGGCTCAGGGCCGAGGAGCCCGGCGCCGGCCGTCGCTGTACCGCCTGAGCAGCCTCGCATGCTGAGAAATAGTGTTTTCATGCGTCGTGCGCGGTACCACAGCCTCGGTTCTTTCGGGGCGAGCATTACGAACTCCGGCTTCACAGGCTTGTGCGCGCCCCGTGCTTCCACCAAGCACGTTGGTGTGCCGTCCACGTGAACGTAAAGAGCAGCTGCCGCCTGCGTCCAAAAACAACACAAAACCACAACCTTCGCGCGTCTAGAACGTGCGAAAGATCGCGTCATTTCTTGTCGTGTCCAGTGAGCGCGGCGCCTTACCTTGGACGGTGAGTGTGACCGGCCAGGAGAGCTTGGGTTCGGTGTTGACCTGACACTCGTAGACGCCAGCATCCCGCGTCCTCACAGCCTGGATGCGCAGTATGAAGTCGTGACTGCCGGCGTCGTGCAGCACCTGGGTCGTGACAGATGGCACACACGGGTCATATATGAGCCAAAACGGATGTGTCCTCCGTCCGACCCGCCGGGACCAGATCGGCGGCCGCGCACGAGACTCACACTTTAAAGTCATTTCTTTAGATCATTTTTAATGGGTCTCATGGGTTGCTTTGCGCCCAGAGATTTGCTAAGCAGAGCTCATCGCGGGTAACCGAATATCATCTCCCAAGACACGTCGAGCGACTTCATTGGATAATACTGTCCTACTGTCTTTTACTAGACGGGACTGCGGGAGGTTTTACGTGCCGAATATTGCCGCAGTAAGGTCGCCCGGGCAGAGCAGCCCTCTGCCCTCTTGGCTGGTCGACCTTTCTATGTCGGTCGGGCCAAACAATAAGCCCGCCATGGGACCGTACCCAGTAACGCTAGATTACGATTCCAGCACGTTTTCCCCAGATCATGGGAGGGGGGAAGGGGGGGGGGGGGTGCTCGCCAACTCCTGTCACTCCTCCTCCTCCTCGCCTCGCCTCGCCTCGCCTCCTGCGTTCTAAAAGGAATTATTTTTAACATAATTGTTGATCTACCTGTAACAGATATATAAATGAATGACCTCTTAAGCTGAATTACGGTCTTTGAGCTCATTCGATAGCGTTCAATTTTTTAGCGATATGAATTGCACTAACGTCCGACACCAACATTTCTATTACTTAAGATTCGTCTTGAAAAGGTCAGAATAAATGAAACCAAAATTTACGTAGGCACGCCCCGACGGGCAAAACTCGATGCAGGTGAAAACCAACTTTTGTTTTGTGAAATAAGCCAGTCAGTCAAGCCAGTAAGGAGGTTAAGTTGAACCATATATTTACAAAGTCGTCAACTACGTAGCTGGGTGGCAGGAAAACATACTCTGCTAGGCCCCTGTCGTATTGATAGCCACTAGCCGCTCTGGCGAGGAATTATACTCTTTTTCAAAAACATCGGTGCATCTGATACATTTAGTGTGATGATTACCACCTTAGCAAGATCAGACATACTGTGCATATTTTTAACAGACTTAACTCCAAAATGCAATCAAAATACGATAGCATGCGTTAAGCCCGATTTAAAAACAAAGTCATTTTTCTCTGTTCTATAAATAATCAAAACATGTACTTTTAATAAAGATTTAAACAAAAAATATGTTTCTATCCACACACACACATAAAGGTGTATATATATATATATATATGTATATATATATATATATATATATATATATATATATATAGATGTATGTATGTATGTATGTATGTGTCACATCAATAACATGTTGCATACAACATAAAATATGACACAACAAATTTTCTAAACGATACAAGTTCATTGGCTATGTTGGAACGACGATTGATTTTGTCGTGGTGAGTCGTACTTCACAGCGCCGCATGTGACGTCATCCGACATTGACGCAGGGATGAGCCCATTTGTCCCCGCGCAACCAACTAAACCATTACGATTATGATGGCGACGTTTTGAATACTGCCAAATCTAGGCGTTCCGAAGACACGCAGCTTACTGTTACGTTTTTAAAAGCTATTTTTGACAAATAAGTGCAGGCAATCAGCGCAAGGAATAAAACAATTTGAGAGTGCTACCAGAATGGAGCAGATATTATTGGAATTGACGTCACACGTGATGAAAGGGGAAGCCGTCGCCGATGTATGGAAAGTTATCCCTCTGTTAAAATGTAAATGTTGGTAAGATTTTGTTTTTGCTGGGAGACTTGTTCGAGCTTATGTCACTGTGCAAAGCCCAACAGAAGCGATTGACATCACAATGAAATTGTATGACATTTAAAAATGTCTTAAAAGCCTCAACCAATTTTTAATGAAAACGTCAGTCACACAAATATTGTAGAGGTCAGTTCACCATGAGCTTCTGTCGAGCCCAACAACCGATATCACCAAGCTAACGTACAACCGCAGTAACGATACGTTTGGTAACGTGAACCGTGTTTACGGTTTTGCGAAGTGTACTGGTGCCCTCGGGCCATCACAGCACGCCCTCCACACAATTCCCGTGACGGACTCGTGAATGCATAGCTCGACCTCATTTGCGTCTCAAGTTGTAAACACACTTGGCTGGATCCCAGCCAAGGGCATCGCGACTGGGCCATACGCTTGCTGTTTGCAGATAATTGCGGAGAATACAGCGAGGAATCGGAACCAATTGCATCGCTCAATGCAGCTGCGAATTACTTGCCATTGCGATACCCGATGTGGAAATGAGTTACGGCATGCGCTGTGGAAGACATTTTGCTTCAGTCCTTGGCCACAGTAAATTTCTGCTAGCAAGCTATTGCGGTTCTTTTCCTGCCAATAATTTATATCGTGTCTCATTAGCCCAGGGGGGAGGGTCATCATTATGGCATCCACCTGCAATCTACTATTGTTGGCCAAACAATGATGCTTGGGAGATCGATAGGCTAGCCGAAGTGCCCAGAATTTACAGCTTGTTCAGTCTACCCTCATATTGATGGCGGCACCGCGCGAACACAAAGAATAACCCAACAAGAAGACTAGGGCGAGCTACGACATAGATCATGGTGAGCGGCGAATCAGCCGCTATGCATTTCTGAACATAACACCTTGCCTCTGAGCCAACGTCTGCATCAACACTCCTCGATCCTCTCGCAATGAAATGGTTTCGCCTCGTGTCGCGCAGCAGTTGCATTGACCCGCCGGGCCAGGAGTAGGGTCTCCCTGAAACCCACCGACCAACGGGCAGCCAGGCTCCATCTCATTCCTGGGAGTCAGGCGCCCCAAGGAGACAGCGCAGCTGCACGCAATCCAAGGGGAGACAGTGCAGGAGCCAGCGGCCTCAGGCGTCCGGTGAGACGGTAGCGCAGCAATCAGCAGCTTCAGGCGTCCGGGGAGACGGTAGCGCAGCAATCGGCAGCTTCAGGCTTTCGGAGAGACGGTAGCGCAGCAGTCCACAGCTTCAAGCACCCGTGGTAGACGGCAGCACAGCAGTCGGCAGCTTGAGGCGTCCGGGGGGGGGGGGGGGAGAGAGACGGTAGCGCAGCAGTCAGCAGCTTCAGATGCCAGGTGAGACAGCAGTGCAGCAGCCAGGGGGAGACGGCAGCGCAGCAGTCGGCAGCTTCAGGCGCCAGGGGGAGACGGCAGCGCAGCAGTCGGCAGCTTCAGGCGCCAGGGGAGACGGCAGCGCAGCAGTCGGCAGCTTCAGGCGCCAGGGGGAGACGGCAGCCCCCGAGGGCCGGCAGTCCGCTCATTCCCCGGTCGTGGTGACTTTATAGCCCACAACCGAGTGCGTCGCTCGGGGCCGTTCTGGGCCGGCCGAGCGGCCGTTAAGCGGGTCGAAGGGGTGGAGCGGCGCTGTCGGCGACAGCGGCGACGTAGTGGCTGCCCTGGCCATGGGTACGCGCCAGGGCAGTGCCGTTCGCCGCGGCAGCAACTGAATCGACCGCCGACTGCAGCGTCCCGCCGGCCGAGTGTGCCCGCAGCCCGAGTACAGGCCTCCCACCGGACTGCGCCTCCCCCTGCCCCTCTCCGGGTGGCTCATGGCAGCCGTCACATATGGGACGCTTGCATTGACCCAGTTGATGTTGGTGACTTGCGGGGTCAAGAAGTTTCTCAGATTTATTGGTAGAGTCCCACACAAATTGCAGAAACTGTTTGGAAAGAAAAATGGACTTGCCTTGGTATACACGCAAATTTATTTCCTATGTCTGCTTAACGTCAGAATCTCGTGTAGGTGGGTGTGCTCAATCTGGTGTTTCTCCAATCTGACGCCGGCCTGAACTCTTAGGCCTACTCATCTTGGCGGGCAGAGACTGCAGATGAAAAATAGGCTCCGTGAAAATCGATGCCAGCGACGGAAGGCGCTTGAAACCGCTGGGCATAAGCAGCATAGTTGTGTGCCGGAGGGCAAGATGCCTCGATAGCATTCTACAAACGCAGGTGAGTACAATTCCTGCGGTCCAAGTCCAGCCGCAGCGAGACGAAACTACACACCTGCGCAATCTGTTTAATCAGAGGCATATGAAAAGAGGCTCGGTGAGTGAAACTTAAGCCACTGAAATGACGTTAAAAACTGCACTACACACAGGGTTTCAACCCATACCCACGGTAATAAAGAATGAGCCCGGGAATGGGTAGCCCAATAGAAACGAAATCATTCTCCCAAATCATCAACTCGCACAAAACGCGAAAGGAATATATTCTCACTCTAATTGCAGCCCTGCCTATGCTAGATAGGCTTGTTTTGTGACAGACATGAGTCAACGAAGCGGAGCAGATCTGATTATAATTTAATCAGAAATCTGCGGACCATGCTCAGTGTACCTCATAAACAATTCAATTGAACATCGTTCCATTTAGTTAATCGGAAATTCCACGTTGCAGCACTCAGGGAATGAAAAAAGGTCGTTTCAATTGTTTGAAATTTTCCAACAAGATCTGTGCTCGGTCTGTTCGAGAAATCCCGCACTTCCAAGAGACAGACAGATGAGTAACTTGATATATTGGCGGTGCATGACGGGATTTACACTTTCCACACTTTACGCTTTACCGGGATTTATGCTTCCAAATGGGCACTGTAGCTGCACACGTACCAAAAGGCAAAAATATGTTACGCGATTCGGTGCATAGAAATTCATTCCAATCGTATTTTCCTAGAGTGAGCTTACAACGGTGATGCTGACAGGCATTTTTAGCCCTGGAAAATCCGTGACGCTCAAGTATTCCCACGCCTGTGCACTGTCTCCGGCTGCGGCGCAGTGGAATACAATGCTACCTTGAAGGTACCAGCGGGTGGTACTGACTCTTTATTGAGCCCACTTCAGGCTAAAACTGTGACATTGATGAAGCGTAAGGCGAAATCTGTCGGAAAAGAAATGCAACAAAATTAGACAACTTACGACTTAACTTATACCAAATCACAATGTCATGTCACATGTCAATGTCACAATGTCACAATGTCAATCACATGTCACAACTTACACCAAATTCAACTCAAAGG